AAATTTGCATTTCCCCCCCCCCCTCCTGGAATAAATATGAATTATGTTGTTGCTGTTACTTTGCCTTTTGTTACCTAAAAAAAATAAAATGTAAGAAGATGAAAAAAAGATAAAGTTAACACCTTCCTTTTGCTGCAGTAGCTTTGTCCATCCCAGTCGACGATCTCTATAAACAAGACTAGAATGTCACTTCCTTTTATTAAGGCTCTTATATTTTTATTGCACCCTTTTGGGGGGCTTAAATGAACCCGGCGGATTTTCAATTAAAAGGGAAAAAAAAGACGAGCGCTAGAGGTTTCGGTCTTTATAATCCGCAGATGAGCGCTCAGCTTTTTTTTTTTCTTTTCTGCAACCGTTCCAATCGGAGGGTTCGGAGAGACGACGCAGCGGCGAGGTTGCAAAATGTGTGATCTATTTGGCTTTTGGAAGGGTAGAGCATAAAACATTATTGTGTTTTCGTTACCATCATTTCAGAAGGCATATAATTTTATGACGATATAATGAGCTCGCTGCCTCTGTCTCGGTAATGGAATGATAAATTGGGCTTCAAAAAAAGGATATTGTGAGGTTCCATTAACGTCTTTTGCCAATCAAGGTTTATGGGCTCGTGTCCTCAGGGGTAGAATTTTATTTTATTTTGTTATATGTTTCAATCAGGAAGGCAGTTCCGAACTTTTTTTTGTGCTTTTTTTTTTTTAATTATTTGAATGAATGAAGTAGGCATATGGGCTGATTTATATATTTGGGTAAAGAAAAGTGTTTCTATTGCTTACAATAACAAATCCGATTTCTACATTTTAGCATTTTTTTTTTGTCATTTTTGTGCTAACGTGGTTTTGGTCTGTATGGGGCAACCAGCTTTTTTTTTGTATTGCTTAGTGCCAGAGCTTTTCTGAAATGACTGCGGGATGACGTATGATGTCACATTCAGTCTTATAGTACCATGCAGCTCTGCTATACGTCTGCACATTCTGCTGTACTTCTTTGGAGCCACCTGGTGGCTTCAGATGGTAAATAGGAACAATTTGCCTATAAATCTTATTTACCCATATAACAATCCTCCAGTACAAATGTTTTATATATATTGATAATGCATGTATTTATTATTATATTATATTACAATGAGCATTGGATCATGCATATCAGTCCTGTGCATATCAGTAATGGTCCCACAGGGGGGGCCAGTTAAGGTGACACTAAACTTAGGGCTTGTTTACACCAAGTGCGGAGCAGGAGCAGAGCAGTAAGAGAACGCATCAAAAATGCATCCAATGTATTCCAATGGTATTTTGGGCTCTTGTTCACACTAAAGCTTTCAGTTCCAGAGCATGTGGAAAAACTGCAGCATGCCCTAAAACGCATGCAAACGCACTGGACTAGAGCTGAAAGACAATTTTAGGCTAAAAAACCCCCACAAAACGGACCAGAACGCGAAAACACGTCCAAAGGCACTACATATGCAGAAACTCATGCAGATCTGGTCCGGATTTGGTGTGAACGAGCCCTTTAAAGTACCTTCACTATTAACAATACTGTATCTTATTTGTGTATCACTCTAGATCCTCCAATCATCTCTGAATTGGTGGTGACACTGTCCTTCCTTCTGGAGGGGGGCTACGTCTGTTCCCCATGGTCCCTGTGTGTGTTGTAAAGTAGTCACCACTCCAAGATTAATGAGCCACGGTGTCTGGTCACATGACCTATGCCAAGGCAGTAGTCTCTATCGAAGGAAAGGATGGCTGGTCAGCTCTACTTGAGTTCTACATCTTCCGGCAGGAAACGGGGCCCCAGCATTGGTGGTCAATTGATCCATCTGTGTTCTTATCTTCGATTTTTTTTTTTTTTTTTGCTTTATCAGGAACTTTTTATTTCACTGTTTTTGGTTAATAAAGCCATCCTAAAATCTTTCATTTGTTTTCTAGTGAACTACCTGAGCGGGAAGAAGGGGAAGGAGAAGAAACGCCAACATTTAGCCACTGGGGGGCTCCGCGTGTGTAAGTAATACCCACATATTGGCATGTATTGCTCTGTGACTCCTAACAGACCCCCCACAATACTGTATACCACCTCTCCTGTACTTTCCGGTCCCCTTCTAGTGTTGAGATATGGAGAGAACCTCAAGTTTCCTTGGGAATCAGTATCGTCGGAGGGCAAAGCATCATTAAACGCTTGAAGAATGGAGAGGAGCTAAAGGGCATTTTCATAAAGCAAGTTCTGGAGGACAGCCCCGCTGGGAGAACCAAAGCTTTAAAGACTGGAGATAAGATTCTAGAGGCAAGTGCAAACACATAACTGGGGCTCTGAGAGCTGCAACATATTAAAGTGGACCGATCAGATAATTGTTTAATTAGTTTATGCATGCTAAGTAATGTGTAAGTGTAATAGTTCTAGGTGTCTATTACCTCCTTGCCTTTGCTTTTTCTTTTTCTAGAAGGATTGCACCATCTTTGTTCAGGTATAATCCATTGTCGCCATCTACCTATAGATGACACATTAGTGTAAATCCTGGTGCCTGTGCCATTCTTCGCAGTGACTTGCTACAAAGTTGCAGTTTGAACACTGGGGAGAAGACTTCTTTCTACCTTCAGCAGACTGATCACATCATGTCAGCCTAAGCAAAACCAATTACTGGAGCTTAAAGTGACTTTAAACTCTCAGATTTTTTAACATAAACCAATACTGTAATGTGTGCCTTACTGTTATCCATGGTTGTTTCCCTTCTCTTTGCTGCTCTTCCTTTTTAAATCCTCATGTCTTCTCATGCTTGGGGGGAACTTCCCTTTTCAGCTCAGGGCCTCTTCCTGTAGTGCTGGCTCAGGTTACAAACCTATACACAGACACCGTATATCCATTCCTGAGACAAGGCAGTCTGCTGCAAAACAGAAGTTCTGCCTAGCATGAGAACAGATACGGATTTAAAAGGAAGAGCAGCAAAGAGAAGAGAAACAACCATGGATTACAGTAAGGCGCACATTACAGTATTGTTTTATGTTAAAAAATCTGAGGGTTTAATGTCACTTTACGGATGACTTTTGAATGATAAAGGGTGGAATTATATTGGAAAACATATACACTTACTCTATATATTGACATGCCAGGAATTTATTCATGCTGAAGGTACTGAAAGGTCTACTTAAAAAAAAAACATTTTGATTTGTTGGTACATTTGCCATCTCTATCTCCTTCACCTTACCGCCGTAGTGTCTCTTGGAGTTGTCTTACCATCTTCAAGCTCATTTTGTCTGACCGGCCTGGATATCTTTTCCAGGTCTCCGGAGTAGATCTGAGGGAGGCCACTCACGATGAAGCTGTGGCCGTCATAAAAAATGCAGGAAATCCAGTTGTTTTCGTCATTCAGAGTTTGTCTCCAGCCCCACGGGTAAGTGAAGGCTAAGTTACAGCTTGGCTGGAAAGAATTTCTCACTATTGATTCTTTTCTATTAAACCTTTAACAAATGCTACATCACAGCATGCAATTAAACAAAACAGTGATTACATGTTATTTACTCACTACCAGCCAGATTTTTAAATCCTTTTATTACACATAATAAAACATTCCCACATTTTCCCAAAACCATGCAGACATTTCCGCTTTTCTTTATATTTATAAATGCACTATTCATTTATATTGGACCCTTCATATAGGGTCCAATATAAATGTAAATGGGTAGATTGTGAGCAATTTTGCTTAAAGGTCCAGGGATGTTAGTAAATTATTCCAGCGTAAAGTTTAAGCCTTACCATGATCCCTTTTGGGGATCCTCTTAAGGGATTTGTCAGCTACACCATGTCACACCTCCAAATCACTCCTCCTTCCACTGATGCTAGGTAAGCTTGGTTCTGTATTAGTAATTTAACAGAGCAGTCAAGCCACAATACAGTAGCTGTATAGTAAGCGCTGAATCAAGCAGTCACTCTGCAGTAGCTGTATAGTAAATGATGGATCAAGCAGTCAACCTGCAGTAGCTGTATAGTAAATCATGGATCAAGCAGTCACTCTGCAGTAGCTGTATAGTAAGTGCTGGATCAAGCACTCAAACCACAATGTATAGTAAGCACCCAATCAAGCAGTCAATCTGCAGTAGCTTTGCAGTTAATGATGGATTTAGATGTCAAGTCACAAAGGCTGTGCAGGAAGCACTGGATGAAGCTATCAAGCTGTTGTTGTGCTGTAAACTTTGAGCATCTAAAGTAACTGTGCAGTAGTTATAGAAGTGCCATTCTGGGATACACGGTCATGGCTCAGAGAGGGTTCCAACTTTTCACCGGCTTTGCTAGCTTTTTCATGCCGAGAGATTTTGTTGCTTTTACAATGTTAGAGGGTGCCGTTTAGAAGCTCAGTGTAAGAACGGCAATATTCATTGGCTGAGAGACCCCCTCTGAATTTGTCATAACTGTGAGCTCAGTTATTTACCCCTCCCCCCCCTCCTTAGATTTTCAATAACACAACATTTTCTTTCAGTTGCAGTCCATCATGAATCCCAAAGCTTCAAATTTTAACAAAGACGATGAAGGCAAAGATGAACAGGTAAGGTGGCTTATGCTTCCCATAGCAGGGTGGCAACGCTGTGCGTTCTGCAGTGATCCTGTGGACAGGGTAATTTTGGACATGTAGTTTAAACGGGCTTTATATAAAAGACAAACCAGTTAAAGCCTCAGTCCAGCTAACACATTCTCGGCAGTCACAGAAACGGGTTGCATTTCTTTCGGAAAAAAAGATTTATATCACACGAATAAAAGCTGACCATGGTAAGCACCCCTGACTGTGTCATATGGTAACTGTGACATGTGCCGGACAGCTTGGCCTGTTAAAGAAGAACTATGAGGTGAGTGATTTTCACTCATCCTCATAGTTCGAGCCGTTGTGTGACAGACTGTCACAGGTCGGCTCTATAGATCGGGAAGTGAGGGAACACATACCGTCGCTCGCTCACTTCTCGATCATCTCCCTGTAGAGAGCCGTAACTATCACCCACGGCTCCCTGCAGGGATTCCCCCCTTCCCGCTCCGATCCTCCAGCGGTGACTGGAGGAACGAACGGGGGAGCGGGCGGCTACAGCTGGCTCTGCCTCTAGATAGGCAGAGCCAGCTGTCAATCACGTAGCTGGGTGGATCTCGACAGTAATGTTAGGATCCGTCCCGGCTGCAGCAGTCTCAGTATACCACGAGCTGTAGCTAGCGATATACTGAGCTTTGGTCCATAATAGAAGTCACCAGCACTCGATGATATGCGCAAGAAGTAAAGCACTTTTCATTCAATCGTCACTTGCGTTAAACTGCTGTACTTTACTTCTTGCGCATATCATCGAGTGTTGGTGAATTCTATTATGGACTGTATATGACCCGGCGCCATCCGTGTTGTCACATCAAGCACCAACCTTTCATCCAAGGTCTGTACGCTGTATGGAGTGCCAGTGATTTTGTATTATCGAATACTGAGCTTTGGGTCACAGGACGAAGCTAGTTTATGTCCTTCCGTTACCCTGAGGAGAACTATGGGGAAAAACACTGACCCCATAGTTCTCCTTTTAAAGGAAGTGGCAGAATCTACTGGCAGGATCCACAGGTAATAAGACTGTGTCACAGGGGGGACTCAGGAATACAAAAACTGCTGTGTTAATGCTACAGACTACAAACTGCAGTATATTTTTGAATTTTTAAAATACAGTAGTTCCACTGTAATCCTGTCTTGGCCAGAAATACAGAATCAAGTCCACATGTACAGTCAGACATGTGCACCGGCAAAAAATGTGTTTTAGTTTTGATTTGGATTTTGCGTGATTTCGTTTTTCGGGATTAGGGTCCCAAATTTCAATTTGTTTCGGGATTCGGATAAAATTCGTTAGCAGTAGTCTGTATGAAATTTCGTTGCGGCAAAGTGACATTCGAATTTTTGTTTTTTTATAGTCTGCAGAAGAGGGGGGAAAATGCGTGAGGTTCCCCCCCAAATCATATCAGACCCTTTAGATCTGGTAGGAATTTTAAGGGGAAACTCCAGCCCCAAAAAATGGGGTGGGGGAAACGCGTGGTCCCCCCTAACATTCCCACCAGACCCTTGATCCGAGCACAGACGGGACGATCGAGCGACCCCCCTCCTTGCGCCTTACCAGGCCACGTGCCCTCGGCATTGGGAGGGTGTTTTTAACCTGGTGGGAGGGGGGGGGTCTCACCTCCTAACATCTCAATTGTCTGGTATGAATTTTTTTCCCCCCCTCTTCTGCAGACTGTAAAAAAATATTAAAAAATTTAATTTTGCTGCAATGAAATTTCGTCACGAAATTTTGTACAAATTTTATACGAAAATAACATTTTGTACAGATTACCGCTAACTAATCTCAGAATCGGAAATTCGGATTCGTTTGCGTTCGTTATTTCTGTCATTTGGAATTCGGATACATCCGAATTTCCGAAATTTCGTCTGAATTTTGATTCGGAACTAAACGAATCGCACATGTCTAATGTACAGTCTGGGTCTGAGACCCAGGGGACTCCAAATTGATTTGAAGACTAAAACTGGTACTTGCAGGCAACACCAGATGCTGCATTTCATCACTTCTGTCACGTTAGGGAAATTGTATGTCAGGTATGGTTTCTTTTTTAGGAGTTTTGGATTTTATCGAGGTTTGGCCTGGCCGTTCTAGAAAACTAAAAGAGCGATCATCACCACAGACATTAAGCTTCTATTAAATGGCAGATTATTCATTGCAGCAGAGGAGCTCAATTTATAGCCTGATACAGCGTGTTTGGACGGAGATACAAGCTATTTTACTAATAGTCTTAATCATAATGACAGTTATCACGCTTTAATGAGCCGGTCAAATCACTCATCTCAGTTTGGTTTTTGCCACTAAGCATTTCGGAGGCTGATCCAGATGGCTAACTTTTAGGTAAACAAGGGCTAATTTAATGAAGTTACTTCCCAAAGTGAGCCGGTGATGTGACATCCGCTAATGAGCAATTACCGCCTCTAATCGGGCACCCTGACTGCGGGTCATAATTGGTTTTAATTTTTTCCCCTTTTTAATATAGATACAAAAGAGGTACTTTTTATTGGCCAAAAACCTTTTGCTAAAAGTTAGCAAAAGGTAACCGAGTGCAATCAGTGAGCTATCAGCGCTGTGCAGGAAACACTGCAGCTGTGCTCCAGTCACAAAGATTCCCCTGATGACCACGAAATAAAAATGTGTAGTGAAACTGTGTGCATGACCTCTGACTCTCAGGCTCCTGTTAAAGAATGGGGCAAATTTATAAGGAGAGGTGTGTTGTTTTTTTTTTTTTTTTAACCCCTTTGTGTTTCTGTATGTATTATTTGTTTTGTATTGCTGTTTTAATATGTAATTATGGATGTATAGTTTGTTCTATGTAATGTATTATTAAAATAAAAAAAGTATTGAATTAAAAAAAAAAAAAGAATGGGGCAATCAAGTGGCGTTGGGTAGGTTTAGCTTCTCTGCCCTGGAAATAGTTACCACACAGGAATTTGGGTTTTGTTAAAAAAAACTTGTGTAATGTGTAGCTGCAGCCTCTTGTGACATGATTCTGTGCCTGCTTTCACCTTCTCTCTCTCCCTCTCATTTCATCTTTCTTTTTTCTCTTTCTTTCTTTCTCTTCTTTTTTTCCTCTCGCTTTCTTCCTCACTTCTCTCTCTTTTTCCCTTTCTCTTTCTTCCTGTCTTTCTCTTTTCTCTCTCTCGCTTTCTCTTTCCTCTCGCTTTCTTTTTCTTTCTTTCTCTCGCTTTCTCTTTCTCTCGCTTGCTTTCTTTCTTTCTCTCGCTTTCTCTTTCTCTCGCTTTCTTTCTTTCTCTCTCTCGCTTTCTTTCTTTCTCTCTCTCGCTTGCTTTCTTTCGCTTTCTTTTTCTCTCGCTTTCTTCCTTTCTCTCGCTTTCTTCCTTTCTCTCGCTTTCTTCCTTTCTCTCGCTTTCTTTCTTTCTCTCTCGCTTTCTTTCTCTCTCGCTTTCTTTCTCTCTCGCTTTCTTTCTTTCTCTCTCGCTTTCTTTCTCTCTCTCTCTCTCTCGCTTTCTTTCTTTCTCTCTCTCTCGCTTGCTTTCTTTCTCTTTCCTTATTTCTCTCTCTCTTCTTTCTTTCTCTCTTTCGCTCTTTCTTTCTTTCTTTCTTTCTCTCTTTCGCTCTTTCTTTCTTTCTTTCTTTCTTTCTTTCTTTCTTTCTTTCTTTCTTTCTTTCTTTCTTTCTCTATCCAAAACAAAAAACAACAAGTATTTTGTTTGCAGTTTGTGTCGGGTCCCCATAAATGGTCACCTTATCCAGCAGTTTATAAATAATTGGGGAACATGTATAGTGTCTCTACCATGTATAATGGGGACTGCCTCTATCAGGTCCAGCTGAGACGGCGGCTTTGTTTGCTCCTTCCGAAGCTAATCTGCAGTACAAACTTCAATTGATTTGGTCATTATTTGCTTTCAATGTTTTTATTTAGCACAAATCCCCGGTTTCATATTCATTCTGTTTCCTGAACCTAATACTTAAATTGTAATCAACCAATAAAACCAACTTAATGAGAATACATTACTGTGAACAACTGACCTATGGGCGGTGAAACTGATTTTACCAAAACGATTTGTGTGTTTTTCGAAGAAAGCCGAGCAAGACAAAATAAGACAGGATGTTGTATTTAGACTGGCTGCACTTTCACCGTTTTCAGGGGCCAAAGGAAATAAACAAGAAAACTTACGGAGAGATCTTTTGTTTCGAGATGCCGGGCCAAAAAATACAAACATATTTTAAAAAGAAAATCCCAAAAATAAATAGCATAAAATATGCTGTTTGCTTTTTTTTTTGGTTGTCAAACAAAAACACACACGCCTGATTAATTTATATATTTATTTATGCAGATTCCAGTTTGTTTTCAGGCTTGGAAAAATTACTTTTTTCCCCCCCTCTGTATTGTTGAAGAGCAGCAAAGGGTGACGAATAAAATCAATTTGTGAGCTGCTGTTGCCAATTAGGGAAATTTTTCAGCTGTGCATATGTCAGATAGTCCACTGAGTATTAAAGCCTCATTCACACGGGGCGTACATGTCCGTGCGGCGTGCACACCCGTAAACAGTCGTTTACAGCTGATCCTGGGAGGGACAGGTGCTGTATGTGATTGCGTGCAGCAGCCTGTTCTTTCCTATGGGAGGACGCGGCTACACGGTGTCATACCGACACCCAAACTGCACATCCGTGCAGGTATGGGTGCCCGCACTTGGACGCAGACAGGATGGTACCTGCCTGCGTCCAAGTGCGATCAGTGGTGGACCTAGGGAACAAAGGGCCCTACGGATGTTTGCTGGGTCCTCATGGCCGAGGCCCAGGGCTGCCTCCTACAGTGTCTGCAGGCTTTTTTTTATTCTCGGCTCCCTCCACAGTATCCGGCAGCC